TACATGCATATATATATATATATATATATAAGCATTCGCAAAAGACATTATATTTTTTCTTTGGACATCCAAAAGGATAAGAAGTTAATTTGAAACCTATACTCTGTGCTGACTATTATTGTTCTTTGTGTTACAATGCAACCAACACACAACTAGTGTTCATTCAAACATATGTATTCCAGATTTCAGAATCGTCTGACTTTTAGGAGGGAGTGACAAAGGGAAAGATTCTGAAACTGATCTATTGTCGCCATCTAGTGGCTCTCTTTGTAATTTCTCTGTCTGCAAAGGCATGCCACACCTATTTTCATTGTTCTCAAAAGAAATATAGATTGGAGTTCATTATTTATGATTATCTTTTCTAAAGGGGCATGGCAAAACATAATGTTATATATACATGTAAATATGGACTATCTAGGTAGAATCGTTTTTTATGTCATGTGTTTATATGTACATTTTTGCACAGAGTGTGTCATATTATTAAATGTATAAAATATAGACATGGTAAAGAAGCAAACATGAAATGTAATACATTGTTTTGAGTGAATAGCCTGTAGAAGAAATGACTTTAGCAATTGCAGTGATTATGTTATATGATTCATAATAATAATAATGTTGATGATGTTTAACATGAATGATCTACCAATTAATATATATATATATCAATGATACCTTTCTTATTGGACTAACATAATATTCAAAAGACAAGTTTTCCAGAGTTAACCTCGCTTCTTCTGAAAGCTTGTCTTTTGAATATTATGGGGTCTATTCACGAAGCAGCCGAAGGATCTAGCTGTAGCTTCGGCCGATCCTTCGGCTAGCTTCGGCCCCAGGACCCCTTCGGTTCAGTAAAACTGAAGAGCTCCCGAACTTGGCCGAGAGGCCGGCCGACAGCCTGCTTCTGACAGCTGGGCGGAGCCAGCTGTGATCTTACGGCTGGCTCCGGCCACTTGCAGAGAGATCAGAGTCCCTGGTTACCGCTCCCGGCCGCAAAGGAGAGAAACACTGCTTTTTCTTTTTTCTTTTTTATTCTGACACAGAGCCGTGTCAGAATAGAAAAAAAAATTAAAACATTTTTGGCCACAGGAATGCATTGCTAGATTCCTATTGGCTATTTCAATTTGCAATAGCCAATAGCGAACTAGCATTGTACCCGCCCTCTGCTGCAGTTCTCCATCAGGTCCCCACTACTGATTGACAGCAGCAGAGGCCAGTTACAATAGCTAGTTTGCTATTGGCTATTGCAAATTGAAATAGCCAATAGGAATCTAGCAATGCATTCCTATGGCTGAAATTTTTTTTTTTTTTTTCGTTTTTTTTTACGGCAGCAGAACCGCCGGCCAATAGAAAACAGTTGGGCGGAGCTAGCTGTCACTGCTCGCTCCGCACAATCGTTTTCTATTTATTTTTTTCAACTTCTTTAACTATTTTTCTGCTCTGCTCGGTCCCACAGAGGGACCGAGTAGAACAGCCAAGAGCAGCATTCAGCTATTCACTGACTGCTGTTTGGCATCTATAGGAATAGACTGAACAGCAGCGAGTAGCCTGCCGGAGGTTCGGCTTAGCCGATCCAGATGTTGGATCAGCTGAGTCGAACTCCTTCTGCACTTCGGGTCGGCCGAACATGCTGAGCATGTTCGCCCGACCCAAAGCCATGCAAAGCCACCCGATGTACGGCTGAT